GCAAGGCGACGTGGAAAATCTTGTTTCTGATGTATCTGTCTCATGTTCTCTCATCTTGCCTTGATATGGTTTCAACAAATAATTTAAAAATTATACAAAAAAAGGGTATTTAAATGCAATCAAGAAAAGACAAAAAAAAAAAAAAAAGATCACCAGAAAACAAAACAAAACAAAACAAAACAAGACTCAGTGTAAGGAACAACTTCTTTGCACTGAGACAGTTCAGACAGTGAGAACAAAATGATGGTTCTGGCTTCACTGTGAGGGGAGGGATCCCTGCTGGAACCTCAGAAGTGAGCGCTTTGTGAAAGTCAAGATGCCTGTTGGGTTGTGACTCCAGGCACAAAATGCTTCCCTTCCCAGTGCCCAGTCTTCTCTTAAAAGCCAGGTCTTACACTGGGAGAGTGCTGATTCACTGACTGGCAGGTTACTTTTATTTTGGCTGATTGGGTAGTTTAATAAATATTATTTTGGTCAAAGAATTCATCTGTCAGGTTAGAGTTGATGGTCCAACAGTTGCTGTTGAAGAACACATTCATTTGCTAATTTCTGTTAGTTCTTACTAACTTCTAGCATAATAAATCCCATCTGCATGGTCTAAAAGGGTTAAAAATTTTTCCTCCATTTTTGGTTATTAGGGTTAACTGTACACATTTAAAAATACCTTCAAATAAATAATTTCTCTTTTCTAACCAAGGTGTGAGCTCTGAATACTTTTCTTTTCTACACCATTTGAGATTGTTCAAGCTTTTCACCCTAAAGCTTGGTTTATTCCTATGTATTGGATTCTGTCCCAATGAAAATGTGTGACCCTAGGCCTGTGTAAAAGTAATACGTGGCCATTGCACACGTGAAAAAGAGATAAAAAAAAACTCTGCAGGTTCAAATGAAACCGGAACAGAAACCAAATTTTTCCTGGCTTAAATCAACAGCATCACAGCCTTATGATTTCACATGTACATTTTACCCGAATGTATTTGGTTGAAGGCCCAAACTGAAATTTTCATTTCTATATTCTCATCTGTTACTTTAAATTATAGTGTATTTGTAATTATTAATTTGGCTTAAAGACAAAGATTCACTGGCAGTTTTCAAAGGCATTAGTCCAAGGGAAATTGGATATATAATTTAGGTATTAAACATACTCATTGTAAAAATAGTATGAATTCACACTGAGATTTTCCCATCCTATATAAAATGCTTTGTTTCAAGCACTGTAAATATATTGAACTAAATTGTATTTGATCATAGTTAAAAAAATACTACTTTATCATCGTACAAGAGTGTAAATATAGAATTTAGTGAGAAGTAAATAAAAAGTATAATTTCAGCTTTCAGATGACTTACATAGAATTAAAATGTTCTTAAAATAGCTAGAAGTAGTCTGATTTCACAATCATTTCTTGATATTACACCAGTTATAAGAAGCCAATTAGAGAGATTATAGCCCATCAAGAATCTAGAGAATTTTCATCATAAATTGTCCCTACACAGGAATGGGGCACTGTTTTGGCATTCCAAGTTCTCTTTTCAAGAGACGTCTCAATGAATAAAGAAGAAATTTGTATTTTTATTACATAACTTATTTTCATTTAAAGTTCTTAAACAACAAAAACTTAACACCAATGTAGGCAATGTTAGTTACAAGGGACTCAGAATAAAGAATACTGCATCTCTTTCATAGACTGTGACTCTTGAAAGTGCTCTAAAAACACTATGAGTTTCATTAGCAGCAAACATTAGCCTAATGGAAACCTCCCTCCTCCCCTTACATGTGTATGTTCGTATACACATACTATAGGTCAGTATCTTCTATCGGTCCAAATTAAATGCGACAATTATACTCAGAGACTGTGCAAGGTTGCAAATACTGTCTACGCTCTCTTAGAGTTCAAGACCACTAGCACCCGAGTGGTTAAGAGAAAACCAATCGTTTCATTAAAGCAAACAAAAAGCCACAAAGTCATATAGTCTGAATTTTTTTTAAGAGCAGAAAAATGGAGGGCTCAGTGAATCACCCAATATATTAACTGTTCTGGGTCCTATAATTTTATCTAAAACTATTTCTTATACGTTGAAGGCTAGATGCCTTTACATAAATAGTTCCAGCAATTCTAAAAATACAAAATATTCCTTTGAAAAATAGGAAAAGTTTTGTTTTGTTTTGTTTTGTTTTGAACTTGGAGAACAGTTCAGCGAGGAGTGGGTTTCCTTCTCACAGATGAATTTTGCAGCATCTTCCCCCAGGAGCACTCTGACAGCTCCGTCATTCTGCATCTAACGCACCACCGGGATGGGCCTCTAGGAAGGGGCCGTGCCGGCACCGAGGCAGGCTGGTCTTCTGTCTTCCACACTCCTCTAGCAGTTCCCCATCCCTAGGCATCTTGCAGCAGTGCCTCACGTCCAGAACTTGAACCTGACTGGGAAAACTACAGCCATTTCAAAAGGCAGCATTTTCATCTGTTGTTTGGGTGATTCTTGTTGCCCCAGGGATAGGAGTGATACCTGGAAGAGTCAGAAGTGGAAAGAATTAGCTACAGCCTTAAATGTTTTAGTTCACACATTCAATTTCAAAAGCAGCAGCTCAGGTATATAAGTAAACAAATCACATGGAATCACACTGTGATTCTAAACAGGACAGAATGGGGAGATTGACAGAAAGCTGCCTTTTGCTGAAGTTCACTGCTAATACTGTCTTTCTCAAACTATAAACTCAGTGGGAGATAACAACCTTTAAGAGTGGAAAAATCACCTCTCCAAAGTAGCCTGTATCTTAAATGCCTATTTCAAATGTTCAACAATTAATTGCAGGAAAAATCAATGCAAGTTGACTCAATGCACTTTTCAAAAAATCTCAACACATATTTCATTGTCACAAAATAAAATGTTAATGCATAGCCCTAAGTATACAAGGATGATATGCTGGTCATCTCTTCACTTAAAAAACACAATGCTTTTACTCTCACAAACAACGCTGATCAAATTCAGGCATGCCAGGCAGCAATCTTCTGGAAAGGAAGTGAACTGTTATGTGTTTAACAGATGTAATTAATGAGACAAGCCTGCAAATAATCAGGAGAAGAGCCCTTCTGGGGCTGGCCCAGCTTGTTTGAACCCTGTTTCATTTCCTTACACAGCTGTCTTCAGTTCAACTCCATACTACCCCCTATTCCAAAAGCCCTCATTGTGGCTAGGGTCCCTCACTGCTGTTTCTGTTTCTGCTACCATTTTCTTTAACTAATGCAGCATTTTGTGCCTAAGACAGTCTCCCTCCTGACTGCCCAAGCCATCTTACCATTATTTAAACAGTTCTCGGTAACTTCCCTAAGACAGCTAATAGCTAGATAATGGCCTTTTCCTGATATTCAGTTTGAGAATCGCATCTCTCTATCACTAACTACACATAAACTCCACGATCTAAGCTGAAAATGTGCCATATTTTGGCTTAATGCTTTAGCTGTTGTCTGGATGCTTTGTACACATGTGTCTAAGATTGAACGGACAGACTTAAATTGTAAATTGAGTTATACAGGACTTAGCACGTAATTCTCTGTCCATGGTGATGAACCAAGATCATTGACTAATATTTTGCAGTGATGAGAATCATGATTAAGAGGATGATGGGAACAGTAGCAGATCTGGATAAATACTGGTGGAGGAGTTAAAACAACGCTTCCTATTTCTAACCGTATTTCTAGGGCAGCTATTCTCAGTTTGTGTCCCAAGTAAATAATGAAGATTCATTGGGGTGAACAAGGTCAGCAGACTTCTTTCCTACAGTGCACCTCAAAATCCTTAATATATTAATACATGTTAACATTCTCCAAAAATGGAAAAACATACACTCAGAATTTCCCAAATATATTTGGTCACGGAAATTTATTTTTCAGGGAACTTCTATTAACATTTTGAGGATATTGGCTATTTACAAATCCTATTTGGGAAAATACACTCTACTGATTCTAAGTACTAATTCTAAATACCTCTATATGTCCTGTGATGTTTAGCATCCTCTGTCCTTTGACTATGGATAAATCATGACTGTCACAGATGATCTGATTCATATTTGGAATTATGTGTGTTTTCATCTTGTGAAGTATTAGGTGTCTATGTCGAGCCTGATTTACTCTTGGAAATTAATTGGGGACACCAGTAAACAAGTAATGGCTTTAAGCACTACCATGGGTTATTTTACTAGCAAACCATGAAAACTCTCTCCCAGTGATATGTTCTATCATTGCTATTAGAAACTGAAGAGGGAATGTCATGGCCATGTGGCTATTTAAATGGATTATTCATTTTAACTTGGAGCATTTTAAGAAAATTTCATGTCATAACCATCATATATTGCTTTAACTTGATCATGTAAATCATGTCATCATATTGTATTCACAATTCTGAATATAACTAAATAATTTCACCTTCATTATTAAGCATCATCTTGTCTATTTACCATAATAAGAAAATCTGCAATGTCTTTTAATACAGGAATATGTCTTGGAAAATAGAGTAGTATTTGATTTTTTAAAAACTCAATCATAATAGAATTGAAAGGATAACCATACATTTGAAAGACTGAAATTATTATTTCTAAAAAAGGAAAAATTAGACCTCTTGTAAGAACCTCCCTAAGTTCCTTACACTGATACTTAGTTGATTCTCTGCAAAAATTTGAAGACAGTCATAGCCCATGATCCTGAGTCTCTGAGAAAATGCAGATGCAACAGTGGTAAGTATGATTTTTGCCCCACCACAAGCAAGGGCACTTGAAATAAGAAGTTGCCAAAAGTCAAGAACAGAGACATTCACACCATCCGTGGAAGGCTGGAAGTATTCAGATCGAAAGTAGAAAATGAACGATCAAAATCACTCCAGGATGGTGGGAGCACAGTGATGATGGAAAGGGTGATTTCTTTTAACAATATGACTTCATTTCTCTGAAGTTACAAATCACAGCAGAACTAAACTTACAGAGGTAGAATTTTGGAAATACATTGTCACGCCAAAAGAACAAGCAGTTGAATATGCTTATGTGTGATTCACAAGAATAACTTGTTGAAACAGAAGAGAAAAAAAGTCTGGGGACTGAATTAATGTCTAAAAAAGAATCTAATTTCCATATAATGACCATAACAGGTTGTTCTTAAGACTTCTTTCTCTTTCCGTGGCTAATAATTATCTTTGGGAAATACATTGAGAATAATTTAAATAGTGGTCACCTGACAGCTTCATCAGCTGGACAGAAAGGCTGTATCTCCAGGCAGAAAAGGCAACTTTGAGAGAGCATACTCTACAGGACTCCTAAAGCAACTTTAGTTGTACACGATGTGTAAGTGGTGGCTCACCGTCGATCTGATTATTCAGTTACCAGTGGGCTGCTCAACAAAGCCCAGAGACAATTCATTTATCGTAGACACTGGCAGCACCCATATCCCCTCATACAAACCCCTTCAAATATGCTGGCCTTACTTCCAACCACCAGTATCTGCATTCCTTTTCCTGAGGATTTCTCTGGCCCCTTGGATCTGCTTTGCGTACTCTTAGAGGAGGCCAGAAATGCCAAGGAACTAATGTCCCAAGAGTAAAAAGGCCTCCAGCAAGGATTGATGGGAATCACAAATCAGTATCCCAGCTACCTGAGCCCTGGAGCGCTCAGAGTCCCAATGG